CATTCATGTCATGTCCTCACATTATGTGATTTAGGTCAGCAATCAATTACATTTATTATCTAGAAGTTGTTTGTTTTGTTTTAAATGAAAAGCATTAAATCAACACTAAAAATTATACAGTACAGAAAAAGCAAATATATACAGAGATAAAACTTATACAAAAACAAGTTTTAAGTCTTGCTTTTTGAATACCATTTTTTCTCTCCCCCTCTTCATAATGGCAAAATAACTAATTACATAAGTACACTAATGTTTTTTGCTTTCTCCTGGGTCACTATTTTTATTTTACCATTAAAAATTAAAAACTACTATATTTAAGATAGTTGGTACAAGAGATATCTTACCTCTAAGGACCAAGGAAAGTTTTAAGGAGCCCCCAGGACTATCTGCAGGATATGGGATAAGAACTCACACTCAACAGGTCAGGTTTTCATCCTCACCATTTCAGGGATTCTGAGCAATATCAGAAAGTTATCAATGGAAGTAAGAACCACCTCTGCATCATCTCTTCCCCAAGGTTTACTCAGGAACCAATCTATTGTTTATTCAGGTAGAGGTCACTGGCTTCCATTAGATCACTGTGAAATAAATAAGGATTTCTTTTATAGTACTTCATCATTGGAATTTAGATGATAAACTGGAACAGGCACTGTCCTGGGAGTCATGAAACTTGTGAAGAAGTTCTGAGCTTTTAATTGACCATGAGTAAGTATAGTTTAAAAGAAAAATAAAAGAAAATCATTGTGTTTTTGGTGAAAGTTTACACCATAAGTTAGGTTTCCATTTAACAATTACTACACATATTTTCAGAGACATCGGTTACATTGTTCACAATGTTTTAACATTCTCATTAATTCCCTTCTGGATATTTCACTTCCAATGATCTGGTTCCCCTTTCCACTTACGCTCTCATGTTTGCTTTAGAGCAACTATTGACCATTTGGTCTCATACAGATGATTTTTAAAATGTGTGCAGTAATACTCTTTTATTTTATGAGCCAATCTGTTATTTAGCTAAAAGGTGCTCTTAGGGGGTAATTTTGGTTCGAGATTTATGACATATCTCAGGGTGAAAGTCTCAGAAAGTTCTCTACTCTTAAGTGATCTAGTAACTCTGCATTTTTTCAAGAACTTGAGTTGTGTTCCACATTGTTCTTGTGTTCTAGCAAGAATAAACAGAATCCATTTATTGTGGCCCTGATTAGAATAGTCAGTAGTGTTAGCCAGGCATGATCTAGTTCTTCTGGTTTCGAGACAGATTAAGGCTGTGGTTCATGTAGACTGTTAGTCCTGTAGACTAGTTTCTTCACTGAGTCATTAGTTTCCTTTTTTCTCTTCTACTTTGGATAAGATGAGACCAATAGCTGTACTTAGATGGGCACTTGAAAGCTTTTAAGACCCAGATACTACTCACCAAGCTGGGATGTATAACATAAACTTTGTGTACTGTATTATGCCAACTGACCTAGTTGTTTCATGAGACTACGATCCTAAGGTTTCAAACCCAGAAATCCAACCCTTTGAGGTGTTAGGATATATCTAAGAAATGTCTATAATTGTGCCTTCTATGTACTTTATTACATATATATGAACAAACATGCATGCACACTGAGACATGTATATGTGCACATATATACATACTTATACACATACACACATATGAATATTTATGAATAGCAGTGAAATATTGTCTGATATAGTGCCAGAAGATGAGTGCCTCATGTTGGAAGGCAATCAAAATACAGCTAAGCAATAGTTATCTCCTCAAAGTAGAGTTGACTTTAATGACGTAGATGGAGTAAAGCTTTTAGGATTTATATTTGCTGCTGGTGGGGCACAATGCAAAATGGGAAGAAACATTCATTAATAATCAGAACAGCAGCTCAAGGAGAAGACAAAGCAAAGTATTATAACGAAATATGGAAAGACCTAGAGTTAGAAAACCAAAAAGGAAGAACACACTTGACATTTCTCTGAATACTGAAAGACCTGAAGGAACAATTCAAGCCTTGAATTGTGAATATTGAAGAATTCTATGGGCATAATATTGAAAGATGCAGGAAACATCAAAAGATGATGGAAAAAGTACACAATCACTGTACAAATAAGAATTGGTCAATGTTCCACCATTTCAGGAACCAATGGTATTGAAGGAAGAAGTCCAAGCTGCACTGAAGGAATTTGCAAAAACAACAAGGCTCCAGGAATTGATGGAATACCCATTGAGATGTTTCAAAAAATAGATGCAGCCCTGAAAGCACTTGCTGGAAGAGGTCCATATTTGTGTCTATTCCAAAGAAAGGTGGTCCAAGACAATGTGGAAATTATTGAACAATATCATTAATATCATATGCAAGTCATATTTTGCTGGCGATAATTCAAAAATGGTTGCAGCAGTATATTGATAGGGTACTTCCAGAAATTCAAGCTGGATTCTAAAGAGTACGTGAAACAAGGGCTATCATTGCTGATATCTGATGGATCTTAGCTGAAAGCAAAGAATACCAGAAAGATGTTTATCTGAGTCTTATTGACTATGCAAAGGCATTTGACCATGTGGATCATAACAAATTATGGAGAACATTGCAAACACTGGGAATTCTAGAGCAGAACACTTAATTGTGCTCATAAGGAATCTGTACATAAACCAAGAGGCTGCCATTAGAATAGAACAAGGGGATACAGCATGGTTTAAAATCAGAAGGTTGTGTGTCAGAGTTGCATTCTTATACCATACTTATTCAATCAGCACGCTGAGCAAATAATCTGAGTCTGAGAAACTGGACTATATGAAGAAGAATGCAGCACCAGGATTGGAGGAAGGCTCATTAACAATCTGCCATATGCAGACGACACAACCTTGCTTGCTAAAAGTGAAGAAGACTTGAAGCACTTACTGATGAAGATTAAAGACTATAGTCTTCAGTATGGATTACACCTTGACATAGAGAAAACAATAATACTCACAACTGGACCAATAAGTAACATCACAATAAATGAAGAAAAGATCAAAGTTATCAGGGATTTAATTTTACTTGGATTCATAGCAACGCCTGTGGAAGCAGCAATCAAGAAATGAGATGTCATATTGCATCTGGGAAAATCTGTTTCAAAAGACCTCTTTAAAGTGTTAAGGAGCAAAGATGTTACTTGGAAGACTAAGTTGTGCCTAACTCAAGCCATGGTGTTTTCAGTTGCCTCATATGCTTGTGAAAGCTGGACACTGAATAAGGAAGACCAAAGAAGAGGTGATGCCTTTGAATTGTAGTTCTGGCACAGAACATCGAAAATGTCATGGACTGCCAGAAGAATGAACAAATCTTTCCTGGAAGAAATGAAGCTAGAATGCTCCCTGGAAGTGAGACTGGGCAGACTTCATTTCACCTGCTTCAGTCCTGTTGTTGGAAGGGACAAGTCTCTGTAGAAGGACATCATGCTTGGCAAAGTAGAGGGTCAGCAAAAAAGGCAAAGACCTTCAATGAGCTGGATTGACACTGCAGCTCCAACAATGGGCTCAGGTATAGCAGAGACTGATGGTGGTGCTGGACTGGGCAGTGTTTTATTATGTTTTACATAGGGTCACTGTAAGTCTGAACTGACTCAACGACACCTAACAACAACATACATACACATATACACATATATATGTATAACCACATGTATCTTTTTTGGTTGTCATTGCAAAATTATGTATTTTCTAGCAGTTACCAAAAATATCCTATGTTTACTTCTTAGAGATATCATTTATCTTGATCAGGCTGTGTGCACTTCACCCACATTCAGTGTTACCTTTCCTACCACCAAAAATAACGAGTGTCTACTATCTCAAGAGTTATTTCCTCTCCTCTCAGCCATCTCTACCTAAGAATGACCAGTGGACACTGGTTTCTGTATCTATTTGCATTTTTGTCTTTTTATAAATGTAGGATCATGTAGTACTTGTCCTTGTGTGATTGATGTATGTCACTCAGCATAATGAGTAAGTACTTTCTTTAAGAAGAAAAAAAGGAAGGGTTATGTTGAGTCAGTGATTCTCAATGAAAATCTTCTCTAGAATAAACCACAATTAATGATTAGAGTATGTTTTATGAAACATCAAGATTGATACTGTAAAAAAAACAAAACAAAACTCCAAGAGACTGATGATCTCCAAGGTAGCAGGGTAGCATGTTGTAGTCAAAACAACATATAGGACCAGCAGGCAAGAAACCTGGATCAAAGTGCTAGCTTTACTGTCTGACTAGTTAGTGACTTTGAGGAGATCACTTGTGTTTGTTTTCTTTTACCATGAAACTAGATGATTAAACTGTGTTCACTTGGATCTTTCCTAATTCTAAAGTTGTATGCATTTGTTTAAAAAATAATAGGGCTCCTTGGAAAATGTATATAAACAAATGTATAAAACTTTATGGACATAAAATGGAGATGTTCCATGACCAATCAATTGTCTTCAGTGTGAGTAATACAAAAACCTTTTACATTAATCTTGGCCAGAGTGAGCTACAATTCACAGCCTACTTGAAGAACCATCTCGGTGGGACTCTTGTTGCTTTGCCCATGCCTCACAATGCTCTGTATCCTGGAAATTGAAGACTGATACTGCATAAGATCTCTAATTTGTATGCCTATAAGTTGACAACCTGATCCTTGTGTTATCCCACAAGGACACTGAAGTTCATAGTAGTTAAATGACTTGCTGAAAGTCACATGTGAAAAACTGGCATTAACTGAGATTCTTGGCACCCTTTGACACATCCAAGTGCTATTGGGGGTGGGGGGGAACATGGAGGGGAAGATACAGGCTATGGAGTCTATCATTGATAAACTGCTTGATCATGGACAGATTGCTTAAAATGTTCAAAATCTATTTCCTTAGCTATATAGCTTTTTCATAAAACAAGAAATATATTAATCATAAATATAATGACAAGTAAGTATGATATAATATAACAGTATATTTGGAAACATTTTTAAAGCATGAGGGAAAAAGTATTGCTTACGTTTTTCTTGTAATGCCTGTAATTTATTAAGTTCTTCATTCTCTTCATCACTGTCTTCACTGCTTGTGCTGCTGACATCCAAGACTATGTCCCTTTTGGGGTCTACTCGAAGAAAATTGCGGCATTCAAAAGTCAGATGACCAGCTAAGTAAAACAACAACAAAAAATGTGAATGACAAAACTATAGATACATTACATATTTTTTTTTATTTGAAATTAGAGTTGCTGCCTGGTAAACAACAAGTTATAATTTTAGTAATATAATATATAGTTTTAACTTTTATGCAGTTGGTGATAGTTTGGTTGTTTCTTGTAAGTTTCCCTGAAGACAACACTCAGAGAGAGAACTTTTTCCTTTCTTCATTAGAACTTCGAATTCAATAAGCATTGTTTTGGCCACTTTTTATGAATTTCAGGGTATGGAATTACTGCATCTTCCCTTTCTATCTACTAAAAGATATATACTGGAATTTTCAATTTATATTTTATTCCTTTCCCATGGCTTTTACTTTTCAGCTTTACTAAAGTACTCATGCAATTACACAGCTTTCATCTAATTAAAATTTCTATACTATAAAAGCATAAACATAATTGAAAATGCTGTTTGAAAGAACATCTAAGTTTAATTCTGACATTCAATGACTAAAGATTTCCCTGTAAGAACTCAACAGTTATCTACTGCATGATAGACTTTCTTAAAAATTAAATATTACAAACATCAGAAAAGTATGGAAGCATGGGAAATAATATAACCAACACCTAAATACTTACCACCCAGATGTTAACATTTTGTCACATTTCAATTTTTTTAAGGGAAAGAGGCAGTAAAAGTGGGTTATACAGATCATTGTTATGTTAATTTCTCAGACTATAACATGAAGGTACCAGTAGGGCTTCAGGGTCCATAGGTAGATAGGTAGAAACAGAATCACCAAGAACATCCTAAAACACAGCCTCTAGTCAGACCTTGCTTCTGGACTGTGGTTGCACATAGACAATTTTCCAAAAGAATATAATGGTTAAAGCAAAATATTCTACTCTCAGCTGTTTACTAAGCTACTGTTTGACCTAAAAGTCCCTAAAAGTGACTCCAGGGAACTAGTTCCTACAAAGTTCAAAAGGACACCTTAGGGCAGATGGCCTGGGTGGATCACCTTAGTTCCATGAACCCAGAAATCTGGATTCCAGAATTAAAACAATTTTGTCAGTACCCAGGAAACTGAGTATTGCCAGAGCCAATGGTTTTAAATATTCTTTAGAAATAGAGAACATGAAACATACCTCATAGGGTTATTTTAAGAATGAAATGCATTGAAATTGTATCTTTAAAATGCTTAGTACAGAATCTAGCACTAAATGGGTTTTTAATAAATGGTACCAGGTTAGGACTATTTTTTTGTACTAATACACACAAAGATAGATTCTCCCATATCCTCATTCAAGGGCCAGCTATGTGGCTAGTTTCATTGTGACTGTGCAGACAAAAATCTGTCAATGAACAAAAGAACTCTGGTTTTATAAAAAACCAAAACTGCCATCAAGTCTATTCCGACTCACAGCGACTCCCACTGGGTTTCCAAGGCTGTAAATCTTTATGGAAGTAGATTGCCTCATCTTCCTCCCACAGAGCAGGTGGTGGGTTTGAACTGCTGACCTTCTGGTTAGCAAACAAATGTCTTACCCACTATAGATATGGCTATTCTTGGCCAGCAGTATGTGTAGACTATGCTAACAATTGTCAGTCAGGTTTTGGCTTGACCTAGGTCTGGTAGTATAGTGCCTAAGGCACTTGACTGCTAACCAGAAGGTTGGCAGTTCACACCCACCAGCCACTCCTCGGAAGGAAGGTAGGGCAATCTACTTCCATAGTGATATTGCCTTGGCAACCCAAGGAGGGGTTGCTATGAGTCAGGGCTGACTCGATGGCACATAACAACAACAAGAAGTGTTAAAGAAGCTTTAAGAACACAAAAGCTATTTAAAGACTTTGAATTCTTAAACCTAGTTAATCCCACCAAACTTCATATTCTTATTTTGGTTTCTATCCATCAATTTAGGCATCTGCATTCATTTATCCTTCCCTGAAGCCTCATCCCCACATGGGTCTGTATCTGTTCCTCTGGCATTGCTGACCAAAGCCCCTCTCTCTCCCCAATCATTTTACTATAGTTTCTGAAGCATGCAACTCCTAATGGACAAATTGTCCCACACGATTACACTGTTACTTGTTTTCATGGATATTTTGCTCTTCCCTGAGTATATTTCTCTAATCATTCCTTGTTGTTGTTGTTGTTTGTCGTCGAGTCGGCCCCGACTCAGAGCGACCCCTCCTTGGGTTTCCGAGGCAGTATCACTACGGAAGTAGGATTGCCCAACCTTCCTTCCGAGGAGTGGCTGGTGGGTTTGAACCGCCAGCCTTCTGGTTAGCAGTCAAGTGCTTTTAGCCACTATGCTACCAGAGCTTTTCACAGTATTATTAAAGCGCTCTGGTGGTGTAGTCCCTAAGGCATTTGACTGCTAATCAGAAGGGTGGTGGTTCAAACCGACCAGCCACTCCATGGAAGGAAGACTGGGCAATCTACTTCTGTAAAGATTTACCACCTTGGAAACCCAAAGGGGGTCGCTATGAGTCAGAATCAACTTGAGGGCAGTGAGTTTTTTTTTGTTGTTGTTGTTGTTTTATATGCATTTATCCTTCTAGCTTTTGTACTCCTTTACATGCATGCAAAGATCTGATTTTGAATCTTTATTAAGACCTTCCATACCTTAATTCCTTCATTTTCTCCAGCTTTCTCTATTTTGTCAATGATATTTCCACATTTGTACCTGTCTCTCATAATTTTTCAACTACTGCTCTGTCCCACTCAATTCATCCTCCAGACAATTTTCCTTTTTAGTTTACAAAGAAAAGTGAGATTACCAGGCAGCATACAACTCTATTTTGTCTGTATACCAGAAAACATCTATACCAATTCTTTTCTAGTTTCTACTAAACTTAAGAGGTCATACCTCTTAGAGGAACTTGCTTAATTTTCTCCTATCTTTGGTTCACCATCTCTTCTAATGTCTCTTTGTTTTATATAACATCTGGTATCTTAAAAGTAAAGCCTTCTATTCATCTCATGTCCCTTTCTGGGAATTACTCAATGTTTCCTACTTTTTAATGTAAATGTCTTGAATACAGAATATATTGGCCTTCTCCACTTCTTCACCACCATTCAGGCCTGAATAAGTTTGTTTCATGACTTACCACTCTACTTAAATTGATCTAGTTAAGCTTAGCAAAGTATGACACCTGCCAAATTCAATGAACATTTTTCAATCTTTTCCTAATAAAACTTATCTGAGTACCTGACAATTTCCCTCTATCTTATAAATTTTTACTCATTCAGCTCAGGAGATGTTGCTGTAGATTCATTCTCCTGGCATTACACCTTTTTGACCATTTTTACCTCAGCTCATGTCTACATATTTTACTCATCAGTTGCTATTTTACCCCACCAAATGTCTGTTCTTGATTGTTCCAAAATTTGCTTAATTCAATATCACACAAGTCAATGAAATATGAATACAAAAAAGAAAGAACTGAAACAAAGTTGTACTTTTGGGAAGATTGATTTAGATATCGTTCACATAAAGCAGTTGCCAAATTAGGTACTGAAAAGAAGCCTAAAAAAAATTGTTGTTGTTGTTGTTAGGTGCTGTCAAGTCGTTTCCAACTCATAGAGACCCCATGCACAGCAGAACGAAACACTGC